ACCACGAGTAACAGACATCTGAAAGTTTTTCTGGTCTACCATTGAGACCTCCATTTTCGCATTGTCTTTCACACAACCACCATGAAAGAGTATCATGATCAAATCTATCCAATGCTTTGGCAATTGACAAGGCACCAACACAAGTAAAAATTTGTCCAGCATGTGATTCAGCTCCAGGACAAACACCAAATCCTCCATCAAAGTTTTGGCATGAAAGTACATAATCTACAGTTTTTTCTACATTGATATATTTCTTATTATTGATCTTGTCACCTCTATAATTTGAACAAGTTTCAAGAAGACCCAATAATGCTAAACAATTGAGTGCACAATAACTAAATCTTGTGTCAATTTCTCCCCATTTATCTCCTGAAAAACTACCATCTTCCTTTTGTAAAGATCCAATAAATTCACCAATTTTTTCAATTTGTTCAAGAGTTAAAAACTCTTCAATATTACTTGTCAAGAGAACCAATAATTGAACTGCTGATAATGTATACAAAATATGAGCATCATGATTAGGAGCTCCAGCAAACCCACCAACATCAGCATGATAACTATCTCTAATAAATTGCAAAATATGTTCTCTATTCATTTTCGATGATTCACTCATCAAATCCATACCTGTTAATCCCCAATACATTCCCGACATTCTCAAATGTTCCGTAACACAATACTCGAAGGTTGTTTGTTCCTTCTCCTCTAAATGTTGAATATAATCAATGTGTGCATGTTTGGCAAATTCTTGTACTGAAGATGATGGTGATGTTTGTTGTTGACTCATTTTTTGTTCTTATGATTTCATCAAAACCAAAATCTTGCTTATTGGTGGCAATTACCTCATCATCATACTTTACAATTTATTATTTATTAAATTATTAATGGTAAAACATGATGAGAGAGAACTTTTAACTAGTAGTGTGCGGAACAAAAGTTCATGAACTATTGATAATAATCATAGAAGAAAAAAACAAAATGTCGAGTCAGCCTAAAAGATTGAAATCTGTTGGATTAACAGGTATGTGTTATTATTGCTGATGTATTTATCATCTTCATCAACAACGTTATATTACGTAATAAAACAACACAGGAGGTATTTGCTCTGGAAAGAGTACTGTCGTATCCTATCTGGGCGAACTCATCAAGGAATATGAACAATTACACTCACAATCACCATCAGAGCACCACAAGATATTCTTCCATGTTATTCCTACTGATGAATTGGGTTGGAAAGCCTATAGTGTTGGCACTGAATGTTATAAACAGGTTGTTGAGGTTTTTACTCCTCTAGTGAAGCAAATTGTAGGAGAGGAGGCTTCTCTTCTGGATGAACAACAACAAATTAATAGAAGAATGTTAGGTAATTATATTATATAATCTATTCTCACCTCTGTATACATGATCAAAATAATTATTTAATAATTAATTTAATAATTTAATAATTTAATATTGGATTATTGAATAATGATTAATAACAACAAATAGGGAGGGTAGTATTTGGAAATTCGGAATTGATGAAGAAACTCACAGATATTGTATGGCCAGAAGTTAAACGATTAATCAATGTGGAAATCTCCAAGGCTGAACAAGAAGCCATCAATGAGAAGGTTGTCTGCCTAATTGAATCAGCAGTTCTAGTCGATGCTGAATGGCAACAAGGAATTGATAAAGTTTGGGTCATTGATGTGAGTAATACAGAGGAGAGAATTCAAAGACTCTGCAGTAGAAATCAATTGACCATTGAGGAAGCAAAACAAAGAATCAATTCACAAGCAATTGCATCTGTTGTGCTTGAAAAATTAGCTCACTATAATGATAATGTCATTCCACATAATCCAATTGAAGTGACCTACTTGGATACTCATAATTTAACATTGGATCAG